AAAAAAAAAAAAAAAAAAAAAACGAAAAAATAGCTACAAAACAAGAATAGAAAAAATTATATGGCACTAATTGAAAGACACTTACTGATTCAGTACCGACGGATAGTTATTCAACGGCATACCCCTTAAAAAAACATTAAAATCAAACAATTAGCTTATCATCTGTTATCAGTTTATCGTTATTATCGTCATCAATTCTTTTTTTTTTCTTTTCTGCAGAAGATTGGCTTCTACTTTCTTTTCTTCCAGAAACAGTATTACAGTTCGAAAGAATCACCATCACGATGATGACGAAAAACAGCGATAGAATAAGTGTTAAACGTTATATTAGCATGCAGTTAGATTATTAAAAAGACTGAAAAAACAGAAATTATAATAAATTATTCAGTTTTTTAGGTAGCGGTTAATGCACACCAATATTATCAAATGAAAACATGAAATGGTCAGAAGTGAATTGGTAAACTGGAAAGAACAGTAAACTGTTATTTTTTGACTGATGGTCAACAAACCGACTGGCCGAACATCCACACTGTTCATTTATCTGTCTCCAACACTTTCTTACAATTGAACTGTTTGAAATGAAAATTTTCCAGACTTTAACAGTAATTTCTTTTCTGTTTTTTCAAGCAAAAAAAAGACAAAAAATTTCAAAAAAAAAAAAAAAGACAGAAAAAACTAGCAAAATTATTTTGCCTTGCAAAAAATTTTCAAAGTGAGGACACAGTTTTTCTATTTCACTTATGCATCATAAAATTGGTAATTCGTTTCACTTTCCAATTTTCAGATTTTTTTTTTTTAACTTTATATTAGCATTCATATACTGTTATCGAGAATACCCAACGTCATACTATTACGAGCATTATAAATTTGAGCTAATCGTTGGTTGAATGATTAGACAAAAAAATTGTTTGAGAATAGAATGAATAAAGAACCGAAGAACAATTATAGAAAAAAGGAAACGAAGAAAAAGACCATAACGAAATGTTTAGATTGTTAATGTAAATTACATGTCAGCTTTCACGTTATCTTCTCCAATAGTTTAAATAAAGTTTAAGAAAAAAATAGCTATTTCTTTTTACCAGTATTTTTTGTATAACTAGCAGGTTTGCAGTTGAAAATCAATTAATTTCGTTTTTTTCTAAGACAAAATAGCAGAATAAGAAGAGAGTGAAGTGAAAAAAAAGAAGGATGTATAGTTAGAAAAATTATTAACAGCCGAATAAGTCAAAAAAAAAAAGCTAAACAGTTCTGATGTATTTCGTTAGTTTTGATTGTTATCAATAATTGCATAAAAACCAATGTTTTTTACTGTTACTACTCACTCAAAAATTGAACAAAAATTTTTGGCCGACATGATATAAATCGTTAATAAAAAGAAATAAAAAAAGGAGAAACATAAAGAACCAACTTTTGACGATATTTAATGATATAGCTGGTTACTGGTTCACCATCTTCGATAATACCTGGTTTCCAGGTCAATGTTACATTAGTTGCTTGAACATTGTTGGCCTGTAGATCTCTTGGTTGTGGAGGTAATGCTGTAAAGAAAGAAAACTCACTTATTTGCTTACTTGCTTCTTTAATTGGAACAGTAGCTGTGAGCCCAAACGATTAGCCAAACAGCTAATTAATTGTCTTATTTAAGTATTTCTGTT